GACAAAACCCTGCCACAGGATTGATACTTTCAGGTTGTACTATATATTTCCAAATTTAGTTTTTTGAAAAATAAAAAGAAAGCCACATCTCAGAAATCGTAAGGATTTGAGCAGTCATATTTGGAGGCCAGATTTGCTTTCCCTCTGAGAACCCTAAACAAACTACGACTAAAAATGGTTACATTTCGATTAAATGGTGTATTTGTATGGTTCTATTTTCATCAGCGCCTCATGTTTTCCAATAAAAACAAGGATGGCAGGTTGATGTGCAAGTAGCACAGAAAATTCCGAAAAAAAAGTTAGTTTTTTTTGCAGATGATTGTGATGCTTTTTGTCCGTTCTCCTATGAATGGATCTAAGTAAATCCCTGAAAAAATAGTACTTTCGATATTAAGAGTGAAATGCGCATCTTTGAAAGCAAATTTACTCAAAAAAATTAATTCAAAAAACTTAATTATGAAATGCTCATCGAAAAAAAATTCAAAATCAGAAAAATTCGTTATATTTTGCATACTTTGTTTTTGAGTTATGTGATATCTTTCCTGTAGTCAAAAAAGCGCTAAATCAAACCTAAAAAACTGATATTCCCCGAGTAAAACTTTAAAAAAAAATTAACTAATTCCGTATTACAGGCCTGCTAGCTCTTTACTTGCTTAATTGCTTGTTTTCTCTATAATGAGCAGTTTTTTTTGGAAAAACTTTTGGAAGGGGTTCGAATCACCACTACAAGCCTTCGTTATGCTATATCAGTCAACCCATTCCGACGATTATTCGTGGTACCTGATTTTGCGAAGAAAAAACTAAAACACACCCGAATACAAAGTTCCTACCCACATTGTGGTCGGAACAGAAATATCATTCCTGACACCCATGCAGCCGAACAAGCGATAGAAGTAAACGAAGCTGATCTCGGTTAATTGCAAAATCAGGAACAAAATCTTAGTTGCTCTCAGTAATACGGGACACTGCTTAAATAAAAAACTCCTTGCTTTGGAAATTAACCGACAATAAATAGGCAGCAGGGTTGGGGAAAAAACGTTAAATAACGAAAAAAATCAATTAAACAGCGTTTGTTTTGTAAAAAAAAACATGTTTTATTGTTTTTTCTTACAGTTTGTTCAGTTCCATTTTTCTGCCCTCATTCCGATGAATTAATAGATATGCGGCAAGAAAAACATAAGTCAGATAATAATCTCTTCTTTCGCTACAAAATGTTCAAGATGATCCGTTGCCGCATTGAAAGATTGAGCCTACTCAATAAGGGAAGGTGGCTCACACCCCTATCGCAGCGGTTCGACTCCCCGAGAATGCTAGTTTTTTGCGATAAACGTTTTAAAATAAAAAACACTGTTTTTAAATTTCTGTTTTAAAACATGTTTTTTACCTTGTTTTAAAACATGTTTTAAAACATCCCCAACCCTGATAAGCAGACATGCGATTGTCCGACAACTGAGTTTAAAAGAAGTACAGCACTCAGTCAAATTCAAACCCACAACATTTGATGGCCTTTTAACCCCCCGGTGCTTCAAATTTTTAAAAATTCATGAGAAACCGCATATATTGGAAATAAGATCCGCATGCTCTGAGTGTACTCTGACAGCACCCAATTACAGGAATCGTAATCACAAATTTTGAAAAACCTTAAAATTTTGTGATGTTTTATTAAGTTCGTTGAAAAAATTTAAAATGAGCTAAGAAACGTCACATCTAGGAAACTTAAAGCAATTGAGCATTCGCATTTGGACGCAAGACTTGCAACTCCTGGGAGTACTCTTACAGTGGATAACTACAACGTTGGAACATTCACATTTTGAGAAACTTCAAACTTAAGTTTTCTAAAAAAAAGATTTTTTTTTGAAAACCAGACTAGCGTGTACCGCACCTCCGTTGCTTCGAATTTTCAACAACTCAAAAAAAACTATTCTTTGAGTGTACTCTGACATCACCCAGTTAAAGGGTTCGTAATTAAAAAAATTGATTCACTTTTTTTATACAAACTTTGAAGAATCATAGAATTTTTTGAAATTTTGTATAAGTTCTTCGAAAAACTTAAAATGAACTTAAAAAACGTCACATCTGGGAAACTGAAAGCAATTGAGCAGTCGCATTTGGACGCAAGATTTGCAACTCCTGAGAGTAACATCAAATGTTGTAAAATTTTTGATTCGATTTTTTAATTCAAACTTTGAAAAAAACCATAAAAATTTGTGACATTTTTTTATATCTAAGTTTATAATGAATTCAGAAACGTCACATCTGGGCAACTGAAAGCAATTGAGCAGTCGCAATAGGACGCAATATTTGCAAATCCTGAGAGTACTCTTACAGTACCCAACTACAACGTTGGGAAATTCAAATTATGAGAAACTTCACCTTAAGTTTTCTTAAACGGGTATTTTTTTGAAAGCCAGAAAAAATTCATTTTTCGAAAAATACCAAAATTTGAGCAGTCTTTTTGTATGGCAAAATTCGCAATCTTTGAAAGTACACAACTACAGGGTTGGGAATTTCATTTTAACGAATTATTTTGTAATTTGTGTTTTCTGAAAAATTCCAAAAAAAAAATCGTCGTATCTCTTAAACAAAAATGATTTTGGCACTCTTAATTGGAGGCCAAAATTGCAACGCCTGAACTTACTCTGACAGCCCCCCAACTACAGGTTAGGAATTTCAAACTTTGAAAAAAAAATAATTTAATTTTCATGAAAATTTTTTTGAAAAAATCACAAAAAACGTCATATCTGGAAAACTGCAAGACTTTGAGCAGCCCTATTTGGATGCAAAATTCGCAGTCCTATTTGGAGGCCAAAAATCGCAACTCCGGAGAGTACCCTGACAGAGCCTCACTACAGAGATAATAAATTCAAGTTTTGTGAAATTTTGTTTAAATAAGTTTTCTGAAAAATTTTGAAAAAAATCCTAGAAAAAACGTCATATCTCGAAAACAACAAGAATTTGAGCAGCCATATTCAGATGCAAGATTTGCAAACCCCTGAGATTACCCTCACAGATTCCAATAACAGGATTGAGATCTTCAAAATTCTGGAATTATTTAACATTCAAGTTTTTTGAAAATTTCGGATAAAATCATAAAAAATGTCAGATCTCAAAAACTACAAGGATTTGAGCAGTCATATTCGGCTGCGAAATTCGCAACTCCTGAGAGTACCCTGAAAGAGCCTGACTACAGAGATGGTAGTTTCAAATTTTATGAATATTTTTTAATCTAAGTTTTCTGAAAAATTTTAAAAAAATCCAAAAAAACGTCATATCTCGAAAACTACAAGGATTTGAGCAGCCATAATCAAAGGAAAGATTTGCAACCCCTGAGAGTACCCTCACAAAACGCAACAACTGGATTGAGATCTTCAACGTTGCGGAATTTTTTAAAATTTTTTTGAAAAAGTCAAAAAACGTCATATCTCGAAAACTGCAAGGATTTCAGAAGTGAGAACTGGAGGCAAGATTCGCAACCCCTGAGAGTACCCTGACAGCACCCAACTACAGGGTGAGAATTTCAAAAAAGGAGAAATTTATTGAAATAAAAATTTCTAAAATTTTAAAATTGCTTATCTCGTAAACTAAAAGAATTTGGTTATTCATATATGGAGGCCAGAATCGCAAAACCTGGGAAAACTGACAGCATCCTACTATTGGGTTGCTAATTTCGAACTTGATGTAAAAAAACACCGAATTTAAACTGGAACATCGAAAAAAAACCTCAACCATTGCAACATACGATATAGCTTAAACGTGAAAAAATTCATTTGTTAAACATGCAAAAATAATAGGTTGAAAAAGCTTAAACATGGCGAGATATTGAAGACCACATCTATATATATAATATTAGATAATACATAGATAATCGATGAAATTTAAGAAAAATTAAGCGACGGTAGACAGACATACTCAAATTAATTTAAAAACAGGTATACAGACAGACACATTTAATTTGGCCTCGAAAAAAATAATGAAAAATTAATAACCATGCGGAAAACTAATTGAAAAAAATTCTTTCGTTAAACATGCAAAATTATTATGCTTAAACATGGGAGATAGCTGTCACTCGCATTTAAAAATAGTATAGATAGAAGGTCACATCTCGAAAACTATAAAAATTCGAGCAGTCTTATTTGAAGGCAATATTCGCAAACCTTGACTGTACTATGACACAACTACAGGGTTGAGAATTTCAACTTGGTGAATTATTTTGTAATTTGGGTTTTAAAAATTTCTAAAAATCACAAAAATCGTCGTATTTCGTGAGTTCAAAAAAATTTAGACATTTTTAATTGGAGGCCGAATGCACAAACCCTGAGATTACTCTGACAGCCCCTACTACAGAGTTGGGAACTTCAAACTTTCATTTACAAAAAGTTTTCTGAAAATTTTTTTGAAAAAAATCACAAAAAACGTTGTATCTGGAATACTACAAAGATCTGGACAGTCATATTCAGAGGCAAGATTCACAACCCCTAAGAGTACCCTCACAGTTTCCAACTACAGGATTCAAATCTTCAAAGTTTCGGAATTTTTTTAAATCTGTTTTTTTTTAAATTTTGTGAAAAAATCATAAAAAACGTCATATCTCGAAAACTTCAAAGATTTGAGAAGTGAGATTCGGAGACAATATTCGCAACCCCTGAGAGTACCCTGACAGCATCAACTACAGGTTGAGAAACTCAAAAAATCAAATTGAAGCGTGCAAAAATGATTTTGTTAAACATGCAAAAATATACGTTGAAAAAGCTTTTAAAGATGGCGAAATAGTGAGCCCGCATTTAAATACTTAATAGATGATGTATTTTGTAAAACAAGTTGCGAACGAAAAAAGCTCCGGTTGTTATACCTTTGCTAGTCGTAGGGTTGAACAAAGTGCACTGGCACTTGGAAATCTGCCTGGTACTCTTTTTTGTCATATATCGGCTTGACACAGTCGAAAGTCCAACAGTTAAAACTCGCAGCATCGACCGTTGAACAAAATTGTTTAGTGATAAAGATTTAAATTATACTTCAAAAGACAAAGTAGTGACTTATCCTCAAAAAATCTAGACATTACTACAACAATTACTATTCCTTACAAACGCAACGATAAACAGTGAAAGAAAAACATTCAGTTTAAGGGCATTTCTTTTCAACTATGGATTTACCAGTTTCTTCAAACTCTTGTTTTGAAATCCACAGCTGGTGAAAACTTCCAAGACTTCCCAGAATGGATCCGCCGACCCAGGTGCTAAAACGCCTCTCAGCGGTTCCACTGTTTGACACAACTTTTAGTTTGACATTTGATGCAACTCGGCTGCCGAGATCTTTATTCAATCGCTCCGTGAATCCCAAAATCAGAGAATTACCGCCAGTCACGATTACGTTTCCAAACAAAGAAGCTCGAATATCAATGTCACAGAGCGACACTGCTTTTTGAACAGCTTCGCACATAGTCAATGTACTGCTTGTTACATTCACGTTCGCTGAAGTTAAAGATTTGATGCATTCTGACGAAATGATCATGTTTGAATCGAAAAGACCTTCTGATATTCGGAACCGTTCTTCTCCAAATGAGGCATTGCACCCATTAGGAAAATCATAAGAAACTCGCGGCATTTGCGAAATGGAGTCTTTGTCATATGTTGATTCAGTATTTACTTGCAAAACACTGGCTGTGAAATCTTGTATCAAATCTTTCAACATGAATTCGTGATAAGAGGGCGTTACTCTATCGACGTTGGATTTTTTCTTCCAGATTGGCTCGGAACCTTCTGAAACTGCTTCTTTCGATGCAACGGAGTATAATGGAACTAAATCGATTCCGGAATTAGTGAAATAATCTTTACATTGCCTCGAGATAAAGTCTCCGGCAAGAGGACTCCGAATTATCGCATTCTTTAATACATACCCATCGTGAACTGGTACAGCTGATGTCAGCTCTGCGCCGCTATCCAAAACAACGCCAGAAGTTCGCCCATGGGCAAAAGCAGCTAAAACTGGACCTTTGACTAAAAAGAAGGCAGGTATAGAATACTTTTCAAACAATAGTTCAGTTAGTTTCTCCCGATTCGACCGTGTATTCCAGGCAGCCTCAGACATCACAACGGGATGATACGCACTTTGAGATTGGATCGAAAAGGTGTAGAGATGATCCAACGCTTTTTCAAAAAGTTCCCAATTCTCAATCATACCGTCTTTTATCAGATTTGTAACTGTCATATCCGCAATTGGAAGCTTCACTTTGTTTGTCCCGATGTAATATTTTGTTTTCGAGATTTTCTTTACTGAATCATCGGTATCCACGGCTGATGCTTCATGCAGTACGCCAATGCTAGCTGGAAGATCAGCTTTCGGGGTGTCCTCACCAGCAAAGCCAGCGCGTATGCTGTTCGACCCAAAATCAAACACCACAGCGCCTATCTCATCGCCTCCGTAAATTCCACCGCTCATTTGAGACTGAAAAACGGCCAAAAAAAATGGTTTAGATCCAGCAAATACATCACATTTTCTCAAAATTGGCCATTGTTATATCCATTTATCTAGCTTAATATCATGTTCATAGAAACTTAATCCAGCTTATTTATGCTTATACTCCGATAATCAGAAGGTCGGAAATCACCATAGCAACTTAAGTTACTAAAATGGTCCTTCAATGTTTCACCAAGTAAAAAAACTCTTGGCACATCATAAATAAGGGAACTGTGAAGAGACGTATAACGAACAGGAGGAAATATAAGAGAGTCGATCCGTCGACAATCATTATCAGAAGGCCAAAAATTAACATAGTTCATTATATGTTTCTCAATCAGTTGAAATTTCAAAAACAATTGCTAAAATTGCCAAAAAATTGGCCACAGAAGAACTAAATCCAGAACTAATGGAACCATATAACGCATGCAGATTAATACCCTTAGATAAGAATCCAGGGGTAAGACCCATAGGCATAGGAGAAGTTATGCGTAGGATAATAGGGCGAACAATAACTAAATTCCTAAAAAACGAACTCATGTCGCTCGGTTCAAACTACCAACTCTGCCTAGGACAAAAATGTGGCATTGAAAATGCGATCCACACGCTAAGAGATCAATACAGCAAAACTTCCGCTGATGCAGTTGTACTGATAGATGCCGAAAACGCTTTCAACTCGCTGAACCGAAAGCTGGCATTAAAAAACACCGAAAATACCTGTCCTTCCCTTTTAACAGCGATTAAGAACTCCTACTCCAATCCATCTAAACTATTTGTTAACAAAAAACAATCTACTCTCAAGAAGGGACAACCCAGGGGGATCCACTAGCAATGGCCATGTACGGTCTAGCCATAATACCCCTCATAAAACTTTTATCAGTAGACGATGTAACCCAGAAAGGGTACGCAGACGACGGAAACGCAGTCGGTAAATTAAGCAATCTACGAACCGTCCTCGATAAAATCGTATCACTGGGTAAATTTTTCGGCTAACACGTGAAAGCATCCAAACGCCAACTCATTGTCAAGGATGAAAAACTCGGTGAAGCTCAGAAAATCTTCGAAAATACAGGAATCACTATGAAGGCAGGAGCCCGAGTGCTTGGTTCAGTTATAGGAACAGAATCTGAAGGTAAAAAGTTAATCTCTACCAGTCGATGGTTTTACCTATCATATGCTACGGGAGCTCAGTTTGGTATTTTTCGAAAACGGAACTCACTAAACTCGATAACATTCAGAAGAAAGCTGCGAACTGGGCAACAAATTATTCGGAGAATTGCTATACTGACAAATTCTCTACGTTGAATCTCTTGCCTCTTTCTTTGTACATCGAGCTGATCGACATTTTGACGTTATCCAAAGTCATAAACAATCGTTTCGACTTCAACTGGCATCCCTTTGTGAACTTTTCCTCCCGGAGAAACAATCTTTTTGACCTGCCTTACGTCAGCAAAGAACAGCTGAAAGGAAATTTCTGGTATCGCACACAGAGACTCGCAAACCTATTGAATAACAGAATAGATTTCCTCAATTCTAACGGCCTCAAAGCAAGACTGTTGAAAACTTACTGGTGCTATTTCAATGATGTCTACAACTCTTCTTCTTCTTGTACTTGGCGCGTTCTTTGCCTTTGTGCAAATTGTCGCCAAACTAACTTTAAGCGTTTGATTTTCGTTTCGGGGTCTTATACACCCTTGTTTTACTGTAAATTCATTATAATAATAATAATAAAAAGTTCCACGAATTTCAACAGAATGAGCAAATCAAAAATTTGAAAAAAAACTAACGAAAATCGTTAAAACCTCCCCTCAAAACGTTTATGCCTGCTATACTAAAGGAGTTCAAGAAAAGTTTTCATTTCTTGCCAGGACAACCCCTAACACTATGGAAAACTTAGAAATTTGTGAAAATATTATCAAAGAACAATTATTACCTAACCTAGTCGGTAAAGACACTTTAAACCCCCAGTTCCGTGAGATATCTTCCTTACCCCTTAAAATGGGCGGACTTAACATCAAGCTGCCATCCGATCATGAAAACTACCTAGAATGGTCTAAGGAAACATCACTAGTACAGGAATCTCAGGATCCTATTACAGCAGTAACACACCAAGAAAAAATATGTACGCATATCAAAAAATTGAAAACTGATAGAACAAATCGAAAAAAAACAAACCTCATTAACTCCTCAAATGAAACAGATAAATACGCAATCGACCTGGTCTCTGAAAAAGGAGTCTCTAACTGGCTCAATGCTCTATCACTGAGCAGATACAATTTCAACCTGAATAAATCAGAGTTCAGAGATGATATTTACTTAAAATACGGATGGGAACCAACCAAAACCCCACTCACATGTGCATGTGATGCTGATTTTAACTTGACACATGCGCTTCACTGTGCAAAGGGTGGTTACACACACATAAGACACAATGAAATTAGAGACACGTTCGCCAACCTCATGAACGAGGTTTGCCATGATGTCGAGATTGAGCCGAAACTTCAGCCGTTTCAAGGCGAAAGCTTTGTCAACAATTCAACTACAACTGAAGATGAGGCACGAATTGACATTGGGGTAAACGGACTCTGGGATTCACAATTCAGCCGCGCTTTCTTTGATGTGCAAATTTTCAACGCCCATGCCAAAACATCGCAAAAACTGCATAAGGATGCATACAAATACCACGAAACGCTGAAGAACTCCAAATATCAGCAAAGAATTTTAAACGTTTTGGAAGAATTTTTGGATGCACCGGAAGCGCTGCTCCAACAGCCACGCGGACGATGCAGCGATTGGCCGAACAATTAAGTGAAAAAAGACAAGAAAGATAACCAGAATCTATAAACTACATAAGAACTAAAATCAGCTTCGCAATCCTGAGGAGCTCTATACTTTGTATAAGGGGGTGCAGATCGCTACGCAATTTTCAATTTATCGACAACTCCATTAGCGCTATTGTAGAGGAAGGACGGCTAAGATAAATTAACGTTACGATGATGCATTTAATGCTGATTTATGACTTCATTGCTGATATATATGCATTTTTATATCACTGGTATGGCCCTATCCAGCTTGTGCACTTACCGTAACTAAACGGAAGGGCCCTTTTTGTAATTTAGTTTTTTTCATTATATGTTAATATATTTTAAAAAATTCACAGAATCTCTAAACAAGGATGAGGTCTACTGGGAGGCAGCCCGCCAGGCTTTATGGGTTGGCGAAGGTGCATACAGAAAAAACCCCATAAAAACCGGTCCTCTCATTGCCTGGTAGCTATTTTTTTATTGTTTTTTTTTATTTATTATGAGTAATCAGAATGTAAAAAGTATCATAGTAACCGAGGTTACAGTCAGGAGTCCCTTCATCACGTATTCCAGTCAAATCCTTGGAATTTTCTAGATATGGAAGTGATAATGATAAAAAAAGATGACAAGTGTTTAAGTCCTTTTCAATTAAAGTCGATACGGGTTACTTCCCTTTTAACAGCGATTAAGAACTCCTACTCAAATCCATCTAAATTATTCGTTAACAAAAAAACAATCTACTTTCAAGAAGGGACAACCCAGGGGGATCCACTAGCAATGGACATGTACGGTCTAGCCATAATACCCCTCAAAAAACTTTTATCAGTAGACGATGTAAATCAGAAATGGTACGCAGACGTGGGAAACGCAGTCGGTAAATTAAGCAATCTACGAACTGTCCTCGATAAAATCGCATCACTGGGTAAATTTTTCGGCTAACACGTGAAAGCATCCAAACGCCAACTCATTGTCAAGGATGAAAAACTCGGTGAAGCTCAGAAAATCTTCGAAAATACAGGAATCACTATGAAGGTAGGAGCCCGAGTGCTTGGTTCAGTTATAGGAACAGAATCTGAAGGTAAAAAGTTCCACGAATTTCAACAGAATGAGCAAATCAAAGTTTTGAAAAAACTAACGAAAATCGCTAAAACCTCCCCTCAAAACGTTTATGCCTGCTATACTAAAGGAGTTCAAGAAAAGCTTTCATTTCTTGCCAGGACAACGCCTAACACTATGGAAATCTTAGAAATATGTGAAAATATTATCAAAGAACAATTATTACCTAACCTAGTCGGTAAAGACACTTTAAACCCCCAGTTCCATGAGATATCTTCCTTACCCCTTAAAAGGGGTGGACTTAACATCAAGCTGCCATCCGATCATGGGTGAGGTCTACTGGGAGGCAGCCCACCAGGCTTTATGGGTTGGCGAAGGTGCATACAGAAAAAACCCCATTAAAACAGGTCCTCTCATTGCCTGGTAGCTCTTTTTTTATTGTTTTTTTTTAAATTTATTATGGGTTATCAGAATGTCAAAAGTATCATAGTAACCGACGTTACAGTCAGGAGTCCCTTCATCACGTATTCCAGTCAAATCCTCGGAATTTTTTAGATATGGAATTGATAATGATAAAAAAAATGACAAGTGTTTAAGTCCTTTTCAATTAAAGTCGATACGGGTTATGTTTATTCAATAGGAACACGCAACTCGACACGAGAAACTATAATATACAAGTGTTACAAATAAAAAAATTTCGTCGAAAGTTATTTTGTCATTTATTGTTCCGAGTACTTAAGCGGCGTTCGCAATCTGTATTGCCAGGGAGATTCTCTGTTTTAAAAAGCTGCCTGCTCTGGGTTCCTCAGTGCATATGCTTAGGTTCTTACAAAGCTTGCTCCAAAAAAATTAATGCTGGGACCGGCCGCGCCCTGAATTTCAAAGCTAGTGGTTGAAAAAGATATCCATCATCTACAAGATCTTTATACTTGTCATTTTTTCGCTCATTCGCTTCAGCGGCAGCCGTACCAGGGTTACAAACAGACCGGTCATTAATCCTACAAGGAGCTAAGGAGTCTACTACCGTTACATCCCACAAGAACTGCTTACCAACAGCCCATGGAACGAGCGTAAAAACGTCTGCGCTTCTGATTGGTCCTGTGGAGGTGTCGAGGTTCTAAAACAGACGGAAGGTGAGTAGAA